CCCACGCAGGCACATGGAGAACATGCAAACTCCGGGCAGGTGGTGCTGTGGCTGGGATTCAAACCAACAACCCTAATACTGTCAGGCGGAAGTGCTAACCATTTAGCCACTGTGCTGCCCAAATTTCAAATACATGTTAAAAAAAAAAAAATCTGAAGAATATATTTTTTTAAATATTTTTCATATATTTTGTAATATATAAAAAATGAATTTCAACATGCAGTGTATATATATATATATAATATATTGAATACGGCCAAAGTTGTATTTTAAATATATGTCAATATATTTGGGAAGAATATTTTTTAAAAAATATTTCAAATATATTCTTCTTCCATGTGGGAAGAACTCGGAGGCCCTGAACCTAATTTTTAAAAAGAGCGATAAAGGAGGTAACGTTGTTCTTCTTTCGGAGGAAATGTATGGAAGTGATTTGGAGGCAACTAACGGATCACTCTACATATAGGAGGCTGACAGGGGATCCCTTCCCATTGTTATTGGCCTCTCTTAATTATAAACTGATTCTGGTATACGAGGGGAACCTAATCACAAGAAAGGAATGGCAGTTTTGAGTGAGTTTGTGTGAGTTTAATACCCCCACGTTCTATATAATCTTCAAAATACATAAAATAAATTGCACAACCCTCCAGGTAGGCCAATTGTCTCAGCTGTTTGAGAGCACCTGGAACATGTTGGGCAATACTCTGATTCCCTAATAAAAGATATGGTGATTGGCTTGCCCTCGTATGTACAGGATACAAGAGATGTTCTATCTAAGATCGAACAGATGGATGTGCAGGCAGGAACATTATTAGTCAAAATAGACTTTAATTCACTCTATACATTAATACCTCACCCCTGTGGACTCGGCGTGGCGTCCCATTACCTTGAGGCAAGCTATCTCAGAATGGGAGGGGAGAACGAGTTTATAAAAAAGCTTGACGAAAGGGATTTGTCCCCGAAACGTGTCAGTAACCTGACCGCACTGACAGTTGGACACCCTGCCCATTGCTGTGGCCATCTCCATTGTCATACAAAGCGTTATATACATGTTACGTTTGTGAGTATGTTTTTGTCTTTTATACATTTTGTATAAACTGGATAATGCACTAGGTGTTTGCGCCACCTGTTTGCTCTTTTCCAGTTGTTGATTTTCCCCATCTGGGGAGGGCTGTATCCCCAACACGTTATCCATAGGCCAATGGTCCCCTGGCCTTCCTTTGGCAATTGGTTCCTGGAGCGATGGAGAGTATACACTGCAGAAACGAGTTTATATTCGACTTATTGGACTTGGTGCTTAATAATAACTTTTTTTCTGTTTCTGGGGGTGAGTTACCAGCAGATGAGGGGAGCCTCAACTGGAGGCCCTTTGGCACCTGCGTACGCCTGCCTCCACCTAAGCTGGTGGGAGGAAGATGCAGTATATTTGTTCATCTATGTACCTAAGCCCTGTGGGGCTGCAGTTGAGGTACATTGACGACGTTCTGATGCTCTAGAATGGCTCCGTCAGTGAACTGGAAAAGTTCACGACAGAACTTGGGGAAAAACCGTTGAGACATCAGAGTTACCTATAACTCTGATCCAAAAGAAATCCCTTTCTTAGCCCTCCTAATCTCGACTGAAAATAATGGACTAACGACAAAAACATACAAGAGAAGAAACGCGGCAAATACTTTGCCGCAAGCCACTAGTCAACCAAAATCTCTCATAAAAGGAATACCTATGGGCAGTGGTGTATTTAGGTTTTGTGCTGCCCTAGGCAACACGAAAATCGTCTGCCCCCCTCCCTCGCAGAGAGAGCCTGACACCAACCAACAACCCCCACCCCCCCACCACACTGGAGAGTGCCTTCCACTACCACCACCATCCATACAACAGAGGCACCCCCCTCCCAGCGAAAGAGAGAAAGACACTCACCTCCAGACATCACTGGAATAAGAGTCAGGCTCCGCATACACCGTCAAGCAGCCCTTAGCCTCACCACCTGGTCCCCATGCCACGTGTGTCCCTTCTTCTGTCCCTTCTTCCGGAGAGCAGTGCTGCCCACTGTAAAATGCCGCCCCAGGCAAATGCCTTATTTGCCTTGTGGTAAATATACCCCTGCCTATGGGTCAATTTTTGAGGATCTGACGAAACTGCTCAAGGAAAGAGGGCTATAGACATGAGGCAGGCAAGCTATACAAAAGATTGAGAGACAGTAGACAGTCAGTAGATGGTAGGCAGTCAGTAGACGTTAGACAGAAAGTAGACAGTCAGTAAACGCTAGACAGTCCATAGACGGTAAACAGACAGTAGACAGTCCGTTGACGGTAGACATTCAGTAGACAGTCCGTAGATAGTAGACCGTCAGTAGACAGTCCATAGATTGTAGATAGTCAGTAGACGGTAGACAGTCTGTAGACGGTAGACAGTCCGTAGACAGTAGAAAAGACAGTAGACGGTAGACAGTCCATAGACAGTCCCACCTGCACGAGGGCGAACAGAACTTTTAAGCGCAAATACTTCTGTGAATTATCAAAATAGTTCTGATCCTCTTAGGATTATAACAATGTGGTTTCCAATGGGAGGATGTACGCAAAATCTTGAAAAAAAAACCCACTGGCATTGGTCCTTGGTCTCCACAAATAGTAGCCATCGTAGGCCCAAAGACATTATTGATGGGGAGATGATCTAGAAACTTAAGAGACATGCTGGTGCAGTATGAGTTCATGAGAACATTCCCCAGAAATTGACTTACTGACCTTCCACAGATGAAAGGGGTGTTACCCTGTGGAAGATGCCGAATCTGCAAATAGGTTGACCGTACTGATGTGTTCACTGATGCGGACCACCAGACTATCTATCAGATTCAACACTTTAGAAATAGTTATTATATTATATTACGAACAGTTTGCTCAGCGCTTTACAAAATGAAGGCAGACATTACAGTTACAGTACAAATTGGTAAAAGAGGAATTAGAGGGCCCTGGTTGTCAGAGCTTACAATTGTGGTACGATGCAGGTCCTATATACAATGGAGTACCCATGTAAAAAACTGTACGTTGGTTGAACACATTAGCAGTGTCCGACAAAAGGTGGACAATAGCTCGATTGCCCAACATTTTATTGAAAAGTATGAAGGAAAATGTGATGGACTCTGTGTAAAGGGATTTATGTCCTAAGAGTTTCTAATTGTAGAGGAGATTTCAATACCATTCTTCTAAGAAAGGAGAAGAAATGGATTTTTAAATTGGGCATGCTGAGGGCAAAAGGGCTTAAAGTGTTACTGTCAGGGCTCCCAGGTATGACCAGAGGTGTGTGACTGAAGCAGGGAAACGCAGACCTCAGATATGTTATAAACAATATAATTTATTAACACTAACAGTACAAACATAAACGCAGTGCAATACTAAAACATAATACGGTGCAAACAAACCAAACCACCCACAGATAACAGTATATACAAGCAAGCGTCGTCAGGCATGGCCGGGTCAATATCAATTGGGCAGGTAGGTACAGGGGGAGCAAGCGGAGAATGGTCGGGGTCACAGGCCAGGTTCAGCAGGTAGCAAGCAGCATAGTACAGAGGGTCAGGCAGAGGGATGGTCCGGGTCACAAGCCAGGGATCAGAACAGGTAGCAAGCAGCGTAGTACAGAGGGTCAGACAGAGGGATGGTCAGGGTCACAAGCCAGGATCAGAGCAGGAGAAGTCAGCAAAGGAACAGAAACAGGATGCAGGACAGATACAGGGCCAGGACAAACACAACACCAAGGCAGAGTCTGTGGGTCTGGCCATCCCTTAAATACCCCAGCATCATCAGTTACAGGTGTTAGCTGGCTGCAGAGTTGAGTCTCTGATTGCTGGGAACACCCCGCTGGCCAGCCCTGGTACTGCAGATCAAAAGGCAGGTGAGTCCCACCATTGCTGGCCAGTCCATTCCTAACAGTTACAAAACCCACAACAGTAAAATCAGTCTGTATATGCAATAAAGCATGCTTGTTATGCTCACTGTAGAACCTGAGGGGTTAATCCTCTGCATTGTGTAAAAAGGCTGTTTGATCCTGACTTCTCTGATCTGCCCCTTCGTCCAGTGTCCCCCTCTTATCTCCTGATAAGAAATTGTGTGGAGACAATCTGCACATGCTCAGTTTGATGTGTATTGCTAGAGAGGTTTTTCTGTTTCTTGGGAGAGTGCATGTGATCCGTACAGGCCAATCAGCTCTGTCCAGACAGAGGTCAAGGGTTCTGCATTCTCCTAGAGCAGAATGAAAACTCCCCCTATAAGCTTTAACCAGTGCGCAGCCTGACACTGATAGAAGTCACAAGAATGCTCTATAAAGCTGATGAGAAAAGGTATTTAGTTTATATTTACTAAAATAATTGCATTTCAATGTTGTGTGTACTGTGGGAGACCGGATATAGTGAATGCAGGGTCTTGGAAGAGCAGATATAGTGAATGCAGGGTCCGGGGGGAGTAGATATAGTGAATGCAGGGTCCAGGGTTTAGTAACACTTTATTACAGAATTTAACCTGCAGGTCTTCCTGGATCCATGAGAGGATGGATCTCCTGAACCCTCATAACCCCTTCCCTCTCCCCCCTTTCCTCCTCTCCCTTCTTCCCCCTTTTTTCTCTGGCTCTTCTCAGCAAATACCTTGGGATGTCTACTTTCCAAAAAAAGGGTATTTTGGGGTTTTTTGTACTGTCCTGGCATTTTAGTGCCTCAAGAAATGTGATTGGCAGTAAGAAAGTCAGAGCTGGCTAAAAGATGCCTAAATAAGAAAGGAGAAGAAATGGATTTTTAAATTGGGCACGCTGAGCCCGAAAGGGCTTAATACAGAATTTAACCTGCAGGTCTTCCTGGATCCATGAGAGGATTGAAATATGGTTAACGATAATTTTCTGTGCACCCCTGGACCATCATAACCCCTTACCCCCCCCCCCCCTTCTTCCCCCTTTTCCCCTCCCCTCCCTATTCCCCCCTTTTTCTCTCTGGATCTTCCCTCTGTCCCCTCTCCCCCCTCTTTACACCCCTATGAAATGAAATGTCCATGCAGGAATGCAGGGGCTGAATGCTTACAGATCTACCGAGGACTGTGTCTAGCAATTGCACTGTGCTGATGCCATGCTTGCTACTTTGCGATAACCTCCTGCTGCATTTCTACTACCATTCCGCTTCTCCTCTCTGCCTGTGCTTGCCTGCTCACATTCTATGAAAGTGGAGGGCCTTCGAAACTATGACAGATAGTCAGGAAATCAAATGTGCAAGTTACGCCCTTTGAAAGCATGAAGGTGCTCATTGGATTTTAGGCTCACACGTGGTATCCCCATACTCAGGAGAAGAAGCAGAATGTGTTTTGAGGTGTAATGCCACATATACCCATGATGTGTGTTAAAAATATCCTTTTGATTTTTTTATGATGTTTAAAAAATTTTTTTTTATTTTACAAAAAATTGTGGCAAAAAATAAGATCCTTCAAAGACTCAACATACCTCTCAGCGCATACCTTGGGGTATCTCCTTTCCAAAAAGGTTTTTTTTGGGGTGGTGTTTATACTGTCCTGGCATTTTAGGGCTCCGAAAATGTGATAGGTACTCAGAAAATCCAATGCGTAATTAAAGCCCCTTGAAAGCCTAAAGGTGATCAATGGATATTGGGCACCTGTACATGGCTAGGCTGTCAAAAAGTCTCACACATATGATATCCCTATGCTCAGGAGTATAGCAGAATGTATTTTGGGGTGAAAGCCATGTATGTCCATATCTCAGTAAAGTGACAACTTTGTTTAAAAAAAAAAGTTTAATTTTCTAAAAACGTGGCAAAAAATAAGATCTTCTAAAGATTCAACATGCCTCTCAGAAAATACCTTGTGGTGTCTACTTTCCAAAAAGGGGTCATTTTGGTGGTGTCTTTACTGTTCTGGCATTTTAGGAGCTCTGTAAATATGACGGGTAGTCAGGAAACCCTGTGTTTATGTGTAATTATTGCCATTTGAAAGCCAGAAGGTGGTCATTGCATTTTGAGCCCCTGTGTAAGTCTAGGCTGCCAAAAAGTCTCACACATGTGGTATCCCCATACTTGGGAAAAGTATCAGAATGCGTTTTGGGGTATAATTCCATGTATGTGTGAGAAATACTGTATATCATTAAAGTGCCAACTTTATGTAAAGAAAATAAATTTTTGTTGGCATTTTCCAAAAACTTGTGGGAAAAAAAAGTCTTCCATGGACTCAACATGCCTCTCAGCGAATACCTACTTTCTAAAAAGGCATTTTAGCGCATCAAGAAATGTGAGAAGCAGTCAGAAAGTCAGAGCTGCTTAAAAGATGCCTAAATTCCAGTATATATATATATATATACGCACCATAGTTTGTAGATGCCATTAACTTTCTTACAAACCAATTAACCCCTTCACGCCGGCGCCTCACTGCCCTTTAAGGATTCCAGAAGCCGGGGGGCGGGGTTTAGGGTCATGTGACCACCGTGACATGATTGGGAAAGGTCCCGATCGAAAGAGGAGATCGGGACCTTTCAGTGAGTACCGGACATGTGTGCTGGGAGCGCGCAGGGCGCGCGCTCTCGGCACATGTGTCCTTTTTTTAATAGAATGCAAATGTGCGGCTGCCGCTCGGTGTCTAGGCCCAGATGAAGCAGAAAACTTAATGATTAACTTTATGCGTTAAAAGCGGGGGTTTAGTTAGCACACATTTGAAAATACATCTCCACTCCTTTGGTGGGAGTGGAGCTGACCCATCTATAGGGACATACAGTTCATACACACACAGCACAAGGCCGGGGTCACACTACCAGAGGGTTCTCGGGGCTGCAGTTCCTCTGAGCTCTACTAGGTGGTAATCTCACCCTCCACCCATACAGGAAGTCTTTATGGAAGACAGGAAGTGATGTTGAGTGCAGACAGGAAGTGATGTCAGGTATAAATAGGAAGTTCTGGGTGAGTTATGAGGAAGTAGAGAGGAGACGTTGGTGGAAGTGGCAGCAGAGGAGGTAATAAGATGTTATTTCCTATTTACACCCAGTAACCCCCCATCATATCCGTCCTCTTCTTCCATAGTCATGTCTGTCCTCTTCCTCCATAGTCATGTCCGTCCTCTTCCTCCATGGTCATGTCCTTCCTCTTCCTCCATAGGCACTGTGACGTCTTTTATCTCCAGCAGATGATGATACACACATATATAGTGTGGGAACCCAGATTAACCCCTTCAGGGGCACAACATTCCCCCACTTCCGGGACCGGAACATTCTCCTCATTGTGGAGATGGGTCACCTTCTCACCTCATCAGTCTATACTAATGGTAGAATTGCCGCTTCATTCCCTTAAACCCGAACACATGGTATATACACGGGTTCTGAGGCTAATTTAATGCAGGCACTAAGGGAGTTTAATGACCACCTTCATCAGCCACAGAACCTGTGTCATTAATATGTGTTCGGATTTAAAGAGATGAGGTGGCAACCGTAAGTAACAGATTATACGACTTTTATCAGTGTCGGGGGATGGGGGGTTATTTCGGGGGATTGGAATATGAATGTCTTTATTTTATAAGATTCAAATAGGAAGAAAGAGAGAAAAATGTAATTTGTAGGAAATGTCCTGAAAACGTATTTCTCCATAATGATCCCAGTCTCAGATATTCATCCTGAAATGTGATCAGTAAAGTCTCCGGAGAACACGGAGATCACAGGGATAGGATGTGTCCTGGCAAAGCCCAAAGACAACGTTCATCTTTCAGTTTAGGAGAGGTGGGACGCACCCGGGAGAAATGATTCTGTGTACAGAAACCTCACAGAGCGCCCCCCACAGCTCCTCCTCCCAATGTCCCTCCATCCAGAGTCAGAGAATCCTATGACATCACACTGACCTCACAGCTCCTCCTCCCGATGTCCCTCCATCCAGAGCCAGAGAATCCACTGACATCACACTGACCTCACAGCTCCTCCTCCCAATGTCCCTCCATCCAGAGCTATAGAATCCTATGACATCACACCGACCTCACAGTTCATCCTCCCCCATTTCCTTCCATCCAGAGTCAGAGAATCCTATGACATCATACTGACCTCACAGCTCCTCCCCCCAATGTCCCTCCATCCAGAGTCAGAGAATCCTATGACATCACACTGACCTCACAGCTCCTCCTCCCAATGTCCCTCCATCCAGAGCCAGAGAGATCCTATCACATCACAACGACCTCGAAGCTCCTCCTCCTTATGTTCCTCCATCCAGAGCATCCTATGATGACATCACACCGACCTCTCAGCTCCTCTCCCCGAAGTCCTTCCAACCAGAGCCAGAGAATCCTATGTCATTACTCCGGCCCTCACAGCTCCTCCCCCCAATGTCCCTCTATCGAGAATCAGATAATCCTATGACATCACACTGACCTCACAGCTCCTCCTCCCAATGTCCCTCCATCTAGAGTCAGAGAATCCTATGACATCACACCGACCTCACAGCTCCTCCTCCCAATGTCCCTCCATCCAGAATAAGAGAATCCTATGACATCATACTGACCTCACAGCTCCTCCCCCAAATGTCCCTCCATCCAGAGACAGAGAATCCTATGACATCACTCCGACCTCACAGCGCCTCATCCCAATCTCCTCCAACCAGAGTCAGAATATCCTAAGACATCACACTGACCTCAAAGCTCCTCCCCCCAATATCCCTCCATCCAGAGCTAGAGAATCCTATCACATCACACCAACCTCACAGCTCTTTATCCCAATCTCCTCCAACCAGAGTCAGAATATCCTATGACATCACACTGACCTCACGGATGCTCACAATGTCCTCCAACCAGAGTCAAAAAATCCTATGACATCACTCTGACCTCACAGTTCCTCCCAATGTTCCTTCATCTGACTCTTCTCTTTTTTTCCCATGCTCCTATGATGTGGGCAGATTCTCAGTATTCTCCCTTGCAAAGCAGGACTGTGGGTCCTGTACGTAATGACGTCACAATGCCTGCAACAAGGCTTAAGCCTTTGGAGTGGGGGGGGGGGGGGGTCTGTGTGGGTATTTGATATCGGGGATGTTTAGTGGTAGAAACAGCTTTGTAGATGCCAGTCTGAACTGTGCTTTAGGGCTTGTTGGCCCGCATTTGTTGAACAAACTCAAAGTTCATCAGGAAAATAGATGCCCACACAGGGGATTCCACAATAAGAAAACAAAATGAAAAAAGTATGCCAAGCTACCTGGCTCTCTCTTCAGCAGTGCTGCTGCTTAGGCCTAAAACCTCGGCTCTTGGCAGGTCCTTTTGGCCATGCAACAGAGTACCTCTGTGTTTCTGTTTCCTTCTCTTAGCTCTCCTTGCAGCCATTTCAGTTGCAGCACCCTCATGTAGGGGTTTTGGTGATACCCCGGGCTCTCTCTTCTCTGAGACTCCTATGACTTACCTAGTCATCATGACTTTCCCCAGGACTTTGTCCAGACCCACTTACCCATCTCCAATTCTTCACTCCTATGGACAAGGAATTTCTCCTGCAGCCTGGAGTTTTGTCTCTTGAGTGGAGTCCGCCTGTCTCCTAATTGGAGTCCTGAACTATGCCCAAGTCCTTCATTATAAGGGCCGTGCACAACTGCACCCACAGCCTGCTGGTCTGCAAGACCTGGGCACTGGGTTGGAGATTTATTCCCTCCCAAAACAGTTTGATATCTCCAAACTCCAGAACCCAATCTGGAAGTATCAAAACAAACATTCTGCATGAAAGTTTGAGAAAACAGCTTTTGAAAGTATTAAAAACCAACTTTCTGCTTTTAGAATCAATGTTCTGGAGCTCAGCATTCTGCATAAGTATGTGCAGTCCGTGTGTCATGTCTACTTCCCTTTTCACGCCAGTGTTTCCTCATCATAGTATATTATACCTCAGTCCTGAAGAGGGGTTTTAACAAAATGGAGACCTGAATGGTGATGTGAGGATTCTGGGAGGTCCCATGACATCACTCTTATCTCTATTAATAAACAGACCTGACCCGGAGAGGTGAGGGGGATTCTGGGAGGTC